CGGAGGTTGAGAGCGCGGAGAGCGCGAGAGCGCCGAGAACGAGAGTACCGAGGCCGCTGAGAGTGAGAGCATCGAGAGTGAGAGCATCGAGGCAGCTGAGAGTGAGAGCGCTGAGAGTGAGAGCATCGAGAGTGAGAGTACCAAGGCCGCTGAGAGCGAGAGCGCAGAGAATGAGAGTACCGAGGCCACTGAGAGTGAGAGCATTGAGAATGTGAGTACCGAGGCCGCTGAGAGCAAGAGTGCCGAGAATGTGAGTACTGAGGGTGCTGAGAGCGAGAGCGCCGAGAACGTGATTACTGAGGGTGCTGAGAGCGAGAGCGCCGAGAGCGAGAGAGCGCCGAGAACGAGAGTACCGAGGCCGCTGAGAGTGAGAGCATCGAGAGTGAGAGCATCGAGGCAGCTGAGAGTGAGAGCGCTGAGAGTGAGAGCATCGAGAGTGAGAGTACCAAGGCCGCTGAGAGCGAGAGCGCAGAGAATGAGAGTACCGAGGCCACTGAGAGTGAGAGCATTGAGAATGTGAGTACCGAGGCCGCTGAGAGCAAGAGTGCCGAGAATGTGAGTACTGAGGGTGCTGAGAGCGAGAGCGCCGAGAATGAGAGTACCGAGGCCGCTGAGAGCGAGAGTGCCGAGAACGTGAGTACTGAGGGTGCTGAGAGTGCCGAGGCTGCTGAGAGTGAGAGCGCCGAGAACGAGAGTACCGAGACTGCTGAGAGCAAGAGCACAGAGAATGAGTACCGAGGCCGCTGAGAGCAAGAGCGCCGAGAACTAGAATACCGAGGCCACTGAGTGTGAGAGCATCGAGAATGAGAGTACTGAGGCTGCTGAGAGTGTGAGCATCGAGGCAGCTGAGAGCGAGAGCGCAGAGAATGGGAGTGCCGAGGCCGCTGAGAGAGCACAGAGAATGTGAGTTCCGAGTTCGCTTTGAGTGAGAGCACAGAGAATGCGAGTGTCGAGGCCGCTGAGAGCGAGTGTGCCGAGAGCGAGAATGCAGAGAATGTGAATGCTGAGGCCGCTGAGAGTGCTGAGAATGAGAGTACTGAGGCTGCTGAGAGCTAGAGCGCCGAGAACGTGAGTGCTGAGAATGTGATTGTGGAAACTACACCAGGAGGAATTGCACCGAGACTGAGAATGTGAGTGTCCAAATGGTGAGTGAAAAAGCTGAGACCAAGAAGAGGTGCGCCATGGTTAAGAACGAGTGTGCAACTTTTTCTTCCTTCGAGAATGAGGGGGTAATTTTAGTTTTCTGTCATAATCACGAAGCAGATCAAGTTACCTTTGAACAATGTGACAAGTAAGGGAACCATTGTTCGAAGTTTCAAGCTTCATGCCATTGCCATTAATGTCTTTACCTTGTGTCAGGTACTTTTAGTACTGTCTTTATATTTGTATCAGAGCTCATTGAACTCTTTTCTAGGTTGATTGTTAAGCCAGTTTTTCTTCTGCCTCATGGTCCTGTATGGACTGTTTTCACTGGATCTTTTTTGGCCATCAGGAGCCACCTTTAAGGGGAGGGGTTATGTTAGGACCTTATGCCTTGTCATGTCTTGTATTTAGAACATTTAATTTTGAGTCCATGTTCCTCTTGTAGTTTTGTTCATGGTCTTTATATTTCCTTTGTTCTTGCTAATTAGGTTCAGGTGTTTCTTGTTTTATGATTAGATCTCTTTGTTATTTAACCCAGTGTTTCCCAACCTTTTTTCAGTCAGGCACCCTTAGAAATTTTTTAAAAATTTGTGGCACCCTATATAGACATGTGGGGGCGTGTTTAAACGAGGCGTTTTAGGAGGGCGTGGACCAGTCTTAACTTTTATAAAGAATATCTCTTTGGGTTTGAGACTTTAGTCTTTGCAACTTTAGGGATCTTATCTATTCACGAACAGCTTATAACACTTCAAAGAGAAAGGAAAACTTGAAATCGCATCATATGACCCCTTTACTGTGTATCTTATTTGTTATTATTTAGGACATCCGATATCAATTATATATATTAAATGTTTTATACACATTTTAACATGTTAGAAAAAGATTTTTTTTACACACCAACCCTGCACTCGTCAGACAGCACCCCAGTTGGGAAACACTGATTTAACTGAGTGGTTCATTCTTGCCTTTGTGGATTATTGTTTGTACATACCCTTTATGGTTCATTGCTATGGTCAAGCTCTACACACCATGTCATGTGTTCTACATTCAAGCCATGGATTACTATTCTATTTTGAGCCATTAAACATAATTTTTCTGCATCTAGATCCTGACTCCAACTTGGTTTTGGGGGTTCGTTAGAACAGTGGAGATCAAAATTAGAGCACAAGCTATAAATACTTGATTTTTTTCTGAAATATTGTTAATTTTCATTGCTCAGAATTTGAAGGAATATTTGCTGTACGCTCTTAAGAAAAATGGTTCTAAACAGTACCAGAAAAGGGTTCTTCGTCTTGTAACATTAGCAGAACCCTTTTTAGTGCTAAATAGAACCTTTTTATAGGGTTCCATATAGAACCATGCTTTGAAAATGCTATAGGACCTTAATGGTGTTATAAATAACCTTTTTAATGATAGTTTTTCATTAATATTAGTATGTTAATATCATTAATATTAGTATTATTTGTATATATTATTTATTCATATTGTTTTTTACCCCTCTATCTGCCTGGTCTTATAATATATTGAAGTGTCTATTAGGGTTTTACATAAAATCAAAAACAATGTGTCAATTAGGTACTTTTTTATGACGTGAAATTGTAGCAAAAATGACAGTGTTCTAACAGTTATTAGCAGAATACATTAATGAATGACAATGGACATTGAACATAAATAAATGCTTAAAGTAAAACAAAATATAATATAAAATAGTGTATTGAAGACCAAGCTCCAGTGAAATATCTTCACAATCCTCTATAATGCCTTTAAGTTAATCATTATCTGTATTTTGGTGTGATTAAGTGGCAGTTTCTCTCTGCAGATGATGGGGTTGTAGGATGTGACAGCATCTGAAATGCACAATTGAGTTTAGATATACAGTGTGTCTCCTTTCATTTTTTTATGTGAAAACAATTGTTTATGAAGGCCAAAAGTAGTATGTGAGCACTTCACAATGTTAAAAGGGAAAAGTAATATTAAGTCATGGGATAGCTGGGTATGTTTATGCATAACCCCTAGTAATAAAAAATATCTAACAAAATGGACCATAAATTCAATATCTTTGTTACTTTTGTGAATAAGAGGAGAGTAGTATCCTTAACTGAACAGAGCTGGTCACACTTACATGTTCTCTTAAACTAAAAAGAGAAAAGTCATAGGAAACCAATTAGCATTTGAAAGTTATAATTTATAGACATTTTAAAAAAAGAAATTATTACCTGTTGAGAGTGTGTTGACAGTCTGTGTAGTTGGATGGCTGAGCTCCAGAAAATCAGTAATGAGGCATCTTAGAGTGTAGCCTCGGTTAGGGTTTTACATTAAAACAACAACAACAATAACCACAACAGCAGCATGTTGTTTGAATTAAGAATGTTTTTATTGACATGCAAAATTGTTGCTCTTAACAACAGTTATTAGCTGAATACATTGAATGAATGACAATTGACATTGAACATGAATAAATACATAAAGAAGTAAAACACAAAATAAGAACAAAAAATAGATGTATGAAGGCCAACTTTCAGTGAAACAATCACAATCCAATCAATATGATGCCTTTTAAGTCCATCATTTTGGTGTGATTAAGTGGCTGTTTTTCTCTGCAGATGATGAGGTTGTAGGATGTGATACATCTGAAATACACAATTGAGTTTAGAGTTACAGTGTGTCCATGTGTTTATGTAAAAACAATTATGTTTATGAAGGCCAAAAGCAAAAATGGACAGTATGTGAGCCCTTCACAATCTTAAAAGAAAAAGTGATATAAAGTCATGGGATTGTTTTAATATTTTTTGTGACTGGGTGTGAATTATAAATTAATTTTACTTACTTAGTGGAGAAGAGGAGAGAAGTTTCCAAAGCTTAGCAGAGCTGCACACACTTATATGTGACCAAAAACGGAAAAAAAGATAAAGACATGTTTGTTTGGAAACCAGTTACAATTTTAAAGTTAAATTTGTATTTAAATTTAAAGAATGAAATCATTTACCTGTTGAGAGTGTGTTGACAGTCTGTAGTTGGATCACTGAACTCCAGAAAATCAGTATGAGGTGCTTTGACAGTTACAGATTTGAAAAACAAAAGAGCAGGAATAAAGAACCCTAAAATCTAACACAATGAACCATTTCAGCATAAAAGGGTTCTTCAGAATGCTATGGTTCTAAATAAAACCATTACTATATGTAAAGAACCTTTAAAGAACCATCTTTTTTTAAGAGTGTAGGTATACCACTGTTCTACTAACATGTTTGACAAAATAACCAAGGCATTTCAACAAAAACCTTTATTTTGTGTAAAACACAGTGATCAAAATGTGTAACCGCTGTAACACGAAATACAGTAACCACTGTAGCACGAAAGAAGATTACAACTAAAATTTTGGAGGATAACGGCTGTCAAAGATTAGTAGGAAGTGTAGAGGCCCCTGCTTTGAATGACTTCAGCAGATCTGTGGCCACAGGACATCACTAGTTTCTCACACTGCTCTGGTGTGATCTTGGTCCACTCTTCTTCCATTCTCTTCCATAGTTCGGTAACTGTAGTGGGTTTCTTAGCCCTAACTTTGCTGCCAAGGATTTTCCACAGATTTTCAGTTGGGTTTAGATCAGGACTCTGGGCCGGCCATTTCATTATGTCAGTGTTCTTAGTTCAGGGAACTGCTTTACCCATTTTGCAGTGTGACGGGTGCTCTCGTCACTAAAGTGAACTTTGGACCAGTTCTCCTCTCTCCACACAACATGCTCCTCAGCAAAGGTGAGCCTAGCCTTTTGATTCTTTCTGCTGATGAGAGGCTTGGTCACTGCAGAGTGCGCTTTCAGTCCGACTTCTTTTAAATGTGCCGAGACAAATCCATACCTTGTTCAGCGCTGAACTGGTGAGCAATTCCAGCTGCAGTGTTGAACCGATTCTCCATTAAGAGTCTCCGCATTATCCTGTCTTCTCGTGTATTTGTCTTAAATGCACATCCAGCCTTTTTGGGGGACTTTAATTAATTTGTGTCATTGTAAAGATGCAATATTCTAGAAATCACAGATTTGGGATGACCAACTTCTCATGTGTGGGTCATCCCTTTGGCCTTCATCTGGACAACCTCCTGTCCCAGGCTTTCAATCATCTTAGAGTGCTCCCCCCTTCTTGCAATCTCAGTGAAAATTGGAGAAATGCTGCCAGTTAAATAGGGTTTGTCATTTAAATAAATTAGAGACAATCTGAGGAAGGCTGGATGGCCGAAATGAATCAGTGTGCAGTGTTTTAGTCATTTTGTATGTTTCTAGATTGAGCCATGTCTGAATAAAGGCTTTTTAATGTTTTGGAATCGGAAGAATTGCCTTGAATTCTTATTTTCTATAGATAAGGGTTTGTCATATAATTAAGGAAATTAGCACCAGGTGCCAGATTAACACCAAAAGCCTGGAGGTATCTGTAATTGTTCTCTGATTTTGATCAGAGTTGTTTTTCAAATATCTCATTTAAGTTTTTTATACTGTGCTTCAGAATATAATTCAGAATACAATTAATTTATGAAATATGCATTAATTTTGAACTCCACATATATATGTGAGCTCAAATTTGTGAAAGATCAAGTCAAATGTGGAGATCAAATTTGTGAGATATATATATATATATATATATATATATATATATATATAATTTATTTTTTCTTCACAAATTTATTTCAATTTTAACTAATTTATATT